AGCAGGGTGATACTTCCTACCAGGGTCAGGCTGGCTCTGAGGAAGGATTTCTGTGCAGAAGGGGCTGTTGGGCGTTGGAATGGGCTGCCCAGGGCAGGGGGGAGTCCCCGGGATCCCTGGAGGGGTTGAAGAGTCGGGCTGAGCCAGCGCTGAGGGGTCTGGGGGAGTTGGGAACTGTCAGGGGGAGGGTCATGGTTGGGCTGGAGGAGCTGCGAGGTCTTTTCCAACCCGGATGATTCTGGGATTCTGAGCCAGAGCAGGTTGGTCAGGGCCACCGCCAGCTGGACTCTGAACATCTCCAAGGATGAGGAGTGCACAGCCCCTCTGGCCAACCTGTCCCGGTGTTTGACCTGCTCCACAGTAAGAGTTTTTCCCTTACATTTAACTGGAATTGTCTGTATTTCTCTTATGCCACTGCCTTCTGTCCTGGATACTGCTGAGAGGAGCCTTGCTTCACTCCTCCCCATCCAGTACTTATTGATAAGATATTGATAAGATCTCCCTGAGCTTTCTCTTCCCCAGCAGTCTCAGCTCTCTCAGCCTCTCCCTCTATATCAGACACTCTCACCCTCTCACCACCTTCAGGGCTTTTCACTGAACTCACTCCAGTACGTCCCTGTCTTTGCTCTTTGCTGGTCCCAGCACTCCAGACACATCTCACCAGAGCTGAGCAGAGAGGAAGGATCCCCTCCCTTGAGAGATGGGCAACACTGCCTAAGGCAGCCCCATGCGCTGTTCTCTACACCAAGGGCACATCCCTGAAAGTCCTCTGTATCCCTGAACTCCTGTAGACACTGCTTCAGCTTTCCACACATTGTTCTCAAATCTTTGCATTCACTGCTTCTGAGAATCAGGCTTTCCAACAATATAAGCAGGCACCACGGGGAAAAGTCATGGCTGTCACAGCTGGACTCAACCTCATTACAAGAAGTAAGACAGGAATGTGATACTGGTATTGCAATACACAGTGACTTACAAGAGAAAAATAATTGGTATTCTAGAGTTAAAAGTGATCAAACTGAACTGTCAGCCTTACCTGGAAGTTTTCTGATGCTTAAATAAATCTTCCCCAATTCCATGTTCTCATTAATTCTTGCAAAGAAACTCTTTCCTATTGATTATCGGAATAGTATTCTGACAAGAGAGGGTAAAAAAGAACAACATTTTCTTGTCTAAATAATATCCAATATCAGTTCCATTTATCACAACTCATTAACGGAAAAAAAAAAAAACCAACGTAAAGCCTTCCTGAATGTCTTCAAATCTGATTTCATTAGCGTTATTTCACCTTAAAAATTTTAAGATCTACTTCAAATTTGCAGCCTAATAGCACCTTCACCCACCCTATATTATGCTCCCAGAAGAGGGTTTAATGTCATGCACATATACAGACCAAGGACTTTTTAATGTTAATGGCAAGGCAACAAAGAAATTCACTTAATGACAAGTTCTTGGACTAATGTATTATTCATTTTGTTATGTGACAGTAGAACAAAATTGTATCCATAAATATATAATGTTGTACACCACTTTTAAATGTAGTTTACATTTATGGAATAATTGGCTGTCTTTCACCACATTATCCTCTCTTTATTCACCTTTTTTTTTTTTTTTTTTTTTTTAAGGGGATGTCATAAAATGCAGTTCGTGACACAGAAGATGCCTTCATTCCAGGAACAGAGACAGAAACTGGCCTGGATAAACCTATGAATTTCAATCTATATTTCTGAAAATGTTTTCTAGTCTCTAGAAGGATTTTGGAAGTATTTTTACAGTGGTTTTTCACATATAAATTGCTAGTTTACTCTTGCCTTACAATTAACCTTAGGTATTTTTAAGTGTATTAACTCATTTGAGGTCAACATTGTACCTAATCACCAGCATACTTATGTTCACGTATTTAGTGATACGTGGGGTTTTGACTTAAGAATACTCACACCTCCGTCCTCGGATCCGCAATCAAGGCAAGCCACGAGCAGAGAGACATCTCAGCACGGGCCCTCGCACCAGGGCTCAGCCTCGCAGAGCTGGGTGCAGGCAACACCGGCCACCAAGGGTCCCAGGAGGGTCAAAGGGTGAACCATGTCCGGATCCACCCGCCGAGTCCAGCCAGGAGCACCAGGAGATGGGGCCAGAGACAGGACCAGGGATGGCACAGGTCCAAAGTCCATCCAGGAAACAGGGCTGGATGCGAGCTGTACGCTGCTTGCACGGAGGGTCCATCCTGGGGCCAAGCTGCTCCGAGCATCCGAGCATCCGTCTGGGGGACTCAGCTTGAGCTGAGCTGGGGCCCCTGGGCCGGTGTGGGGGGAGGCCCCAGGAGAGGCTGGTCAGGGCCATCAAGGCCTGTCTGTGCCCTCAGGGCACAAAAACGCTTTCCAGGTTCCATTACCCATTTGCTCAAATTTCGTTTGCCTTCATAAATCTGCATTTGCAGATTATTTTACACTCTCCAGTCACCTGCGTGGTCTCTCCAGTTACTGCCCGCTTCAGGTTCGCATCCAGTTCTGGGTTCAGTACCACACAGGTTCCTTACGCCGAGAGGGCTTTTCTTCAGGCACTGGAGAGTGGTAGGAAACAAATCCTCTGCCGTAACAGCAGCTCCTTGCAGCCTGCTCCCCTCTTCTCCCACGCTGCACCAGCTACGAGACCCAATTCTGTCTACACAGGTGAGGAGACTCCAGCTCTGTAACAACAGGCACGACCTGAGCAGCCCAGCCAAAACACTGCACATGGGTCGGAACAACCCCAAGGACAGATACAGGCTGGGCAAAGAGCGAGCAGTCCTGTTGAGAAGGACTTGAGGGTGTTAGTGGATGGAAAACTGCCTGTGGGGCAGCAAGGGGCACTCGCAGCCCAGCAAGGCCCCGTGTGCTGGGCTGCACCCAGAGCAGGGGGGGCACAGGGCCAGGGGGGGATTCTCCCCTCTGCTCCGCTCTGGGAGACCCCCCTGCAGGGCTGGGTCCAGCTCGGGGGCACCAACAGCAGAAGGACACGGACCTGCTGGAGCGGGGCCAGAGGAGCCACGGAGATGCTGGGGGGCTGGAACCCCCCTGTGAGGACAGGCTGGGAGAGTTGGGGGGTTCAGCTGGGGAAGAGAAGGCTCCGGGGAGAGCTTAGAGCGGCCCCCCAGGGCTGAAAGGGGCTGCGGGAAAGGGGGGAGGGATGGGACGATGGGTGATGGTTTTAAACTGACAGAGGGGAGATTTAGATGAGATCTGAGGCAGAAATTCTCCCCTGTGAGGGGGGTGAGGCCCTGGCACAGGCTGCCCAGAGAAGCTGTGGCTGCCCCCTCCCTGGAAGGGCTCAAGGCCAGGTTGGACGGGGCTTTGGGCAACCTGGGCTGGGGGAAGGTGGCCCTGCCCGGGGCGGGGGGTGGCACTGAGTGGGCTTTGAGGTCCTTCCCACCCAGACCAGTCTGTGACTGTAAGGCATGTAACATATTCCTTACACAAGTCTGTATGCTACTAAAAATTTCACAAATCTGCATGCTTTTGCCCATCAACAACAGATGAGTCTCATGGACATAAACAGGGAACTTCACAGTGCCAGACAAATGCTGCTCAACTGCCAAAACCAACACTGAATCACTGCTTGAGCAGCAATTAAACTAGAACAATGCGGATACCCGGAGCCTTCCTTTAATCACTCTCCCAACTATGTGTTAATTAGCTAGGCTGCAGTAACTACAGAAATGATGAGCCTATATGAGAATAAAAAGTAAAATTGTATTAAAAATTCAGTAAATTATACAACACTCTTTCCTATCAAAATATTTTAAAATATTCATGTCCGGAAGCGTATACCCTACAAAGATCTCAGGATTGTTCAGTAGACTTCTCCGTGCCGCGGCTCACAAACTGCCATTACCGATGAAATTAAAAGGTGGCGTTTGAGCGCTGCCAAGGCTGGACGAGTCCAGTGGGCACTAACAGGGCGGAGGAGAGGTCACCGCGGTGGTTCTGGGGTGGCCAGAGCGGGGGCCAGGCTGGCCAAGGCCACATGGGCCTCGGGCCAGAGGTGAAGGAGCGGGTGGGGGCCTCTGCGCGCAGACCCCTCTCTGTGACTCCCGGCAGCCGCTCGGTGGACGCCATACAGGCCTGAAAGCTCCGGGTTTGTGTAAAAGAGGGGCAGCGCCCCTGGCAGAACTGCCCCAGGGCTTAAAAATACCACGGGCTTGGCATCCTGGCAGCGCAAGCGCCGCTCTGAGGCCCCTCGGCCTGCACGGAGCCGCGTTAGCAGCGCCGCGGCCGCCCCGCGAAAGGCCCAAGAGCCAGTTTTGTAACAGCACCGGGCAGGGGGTCCCCTCGCGGCCCCGAGCACCGCTCCCTCCCTCAGCCCCGTCCCTTCGCC